TCCTCTCTTCCCACTGCTCAGCAGTGTGTTTCAGTTAATCTACCTGTTCTGCTCCCTACTCTGTCTCTGGTGAATACTCTCACACACAGTACCCCAGTTCTTGTATGCATAAATAATAGATCTTTAAAAAATTTGCAAGTGCCGGCCCTCCCTGGTGGCGCAGCGGGTTAAAGCACAGCACTGAGAATCTAAAGTCACTTCTGCATGAGTTCGATCCCCGCCTGCCCCGGAGGTGACCACAGGGCGCGACAGACCTCTCCTGACCGCCCGCTGCTCCCCTCAGCAGTGGACTTCCTCGATCTGCCTGTTCTGCTCCCCGTTCTGTCTCTGGTGAAGCCTCTCGCCACCCCTGAGCCTCTGGCCTGTACCCCAGTTCTGTATGCATAAATAAATAAATCTTTAAAAAAAAATTTTGCAAGTGCCTGGGTTCTGCCAGGTCTACTATATCAGCCCCCCAACCCCCTTGGAGAGGGCTCCAGGAATCCACATGGCTAAAGGGTCCCCAGATGGTTCCTGTATGCTGTGACATCCAGAGTCTCTGGACACACATAGCTGCTTCCTCCTCAAAGCTCATCTCCCTTTGTGCCAGCTCTATTGTGTGTGTCTTTGATGGTGAATCTCTTTGGAAGTCAGATAGCAGAGTAAATACCTGTGACTGCACATATGACTGCGTGTCCCGGGGAGCCGCCTGCCCTTTGATGCTCGTCTTGCCAACAAATCCATCAAAGTACAGCTCACCTAGAAGCTGTCCAGCAAGCCCTTTCTTATGACTGGAATTGGGCCAAGCGGCCCTCCCAGCCCCCAGCTCGGCCTATCCCCAGCTCTTTCAAAACACCTGCAGCTTTAGTCAAGCCATAGTCAAGTTTGGTCCATCGTCAAGCCAATGGACCAAACCACCTGGCCATACTGCCTGGCCTCAGACAGGTGTCCATTCCATTCATTTGACACTCCCCCTTCCTCCCAGCTCTTTACCTTTTTAAGGTTTGGTCAAGTGCCTCTTGGGGGGGGGGGTCCTCCTGCTCTCTCTGCCTGGGGCCAAATCCTTTTATTGCAGCTTCCTCTTTCTGGCCGCTTGCCAAGCCAGTAGCTCCCATTTAGGTAGTGATGGCTTCCTGCATTGTAATTAGCATGCCGTGCCCCATGACGGGACTCAATGAGCACTAGCATCCCTTTCTCCCTTGCAAGTGCGCTACCAGGTCCCTCCGACAGCCAGTCCCAGCCTGTAAGCCACAACAGTGCGAGATGGTCCTCTCGTCACTGTACCCCCAGCACCTGGCTCCAGAGACCCGCAGATTCTGCGCTGCTGCTCACGGCACCCCCCATTCTATTGGCCAACCAGACACCAGCAGATGAGCCCAAACAGCCCAGTGGGCTGAGTGTCAAGGAATTCGCAGATACAGCCCGGAAGATTGCATTTCACTCGGTAAGTCATTCACCAAGAGTGGTGCGAGCTTGCAGCTAGCAGAAGAAAGAGACCCTCCCTTGTGCTTTGCATGAAGCCTGGGGCAAGCATACCCTTCCCACCCTTCCCCAAGTTCTCAAGTGGAGCAGCACCGCCTCCTGATCCTCATAAAGCCCCCATAAAGACTAGAGGAGCCCCGGGGGAACAGCCACCATGTCTCAGACACTGGTGGAAAGTCACGGACTGACACCGTGTCCGCTTTCAGGGAGCCTGGGCTCTGTCCGGGAATCAAGGTGAAGAGTGAGAATCTCATCCGCGAAAGAGTGGCAGTCTCGGTGTGGAAGCCCCTCTCCTGTGCTGGGGGCCACAGGCAGAGGCAGAGGCCAGGGTCCAGCTTGCCTCATCCACCCCCAGGCGATCCAGCAGGGGAGGGATGAATACAAGCACACATAAAGGGGCCATGGCCAGGGGGTTTTAACCCCGCATGAGGAGGGGTAAAAGGACTTGAGATCAAGAGTCTCATTTGCCCAGGATAGAGCAAATACCTTGCTGCCTGCAGCACACAAATGGATACCGGCTTCTGATCTCCTCCTGCTCTGCCCTTGAATTTTGACCTCTGGTACTGTGAGTGGGGTGTGTGTGTGTGTGTGCGCATGCGTGTGTGGTCACGTGTGCTTGCACATGTATGCTCCATGGGGTGCCATCCTGGCTCTCCTCGAAGACCCATAAGCATGTGCCTCTGGCCTGAATCCTGGCTTGGGGTTGCCTGACGAGGCCAAGGGTCACCAGCTCAGGGGGGCTAGGCGGTGTTTCCATGGTCTTAGAGCCTAAGAGACAAGCCACGTATAAACAAACAGTCAGGAATTTTGGAAAAAACAACAGCAAAATGTGTATCAGCGTTAGGAGGGATAATGAGAAGCCCGACCTCTGCTGATTGGTCAGTTCTGGAAAAGCAAGGGGCCTTGGTGGGAGATTCACACTTCAGCCAGTGATAACTGCCTGATCCATGGCTGGGCAGAAAGGCAGGAGGGAGAGGGTTGGGGGGGACAGGATTTCGGGACGTGGAAGGGTTCGCTCCTGGGCAAATGAGTACTGTGGTTGTACGTAAGAGGGCAGAAAACCGAAAGACCTCGGGACATGATTCACAGCAGGGGCTTCTCTTTCTTCTCTTTTCCTTCCTTTTCAGAGATGGGCCTGACAACAGGCCTCTGCCCGCAGTGGCTTGCTGGGAGACACCTAGGGCTTTTCTTTTCTGACTTGCCAAGAAGATCCCACGGCCTTGCTGGGCTCCAGCCTTTGGATGGTGAGACGCCAGGCTGGAGCGGACTCCCCCGCTTCCCGTTACTCTGACTGAGTTTCAGGGAAACCCAAATCTGGGGGCGCTGAGGCTGCGTCCCAGTGGAGCCACGCTTCCCCATGACAAGTGGGAGCCACTGTCCAGTGGCCAGATGCTTTGGGCATGAAGCCAAACATTTGTACAAAGGGAAAAACCCAGACACAACTCTTGCATTTGCTCTGCTCACGGGCCTTTTGCAGTTTGACACGTGACACGGTGCCTGGAAGCCCGAGGCGGCGTGGTTCTGGGCCGAGTCTCCGAGGTTTGGCTTTTGAGTGGCTGTTGTCTTTGGTGCTTAGTCAGACCTCTCTGTCCCCAATCAGACGGTTGATATTTGCATTGTGAATCGTGGTTCTTGCAGAAATTTTATGCAGGGAGGAAACGCAAAGGAGACCCAGACCGCCACACTGTGAGTGGGACGCCCCGGCTGTGGCTGTTCTGGAAACCACTGTCTCCAGCCTCCCCCACCCCAGCCGGTGGAGGTGGGCGACAAGGAGGAAATGGACTCAAGAGAGCGGATTTCTCAGATCCCACTCCAGGAATTCCCCAGCCACTGGGCAGCCTGCGGAGACATGTGGGTGCCAATGGCAGGACTTTGGGTCTGGAGGGCTGCTTCCGTGCCTGGAGCAGTAGGCAGGGGCAATTTAAAGAAAAATGTTTGCGCTCAGCTGCATGCGGTTAGGACAGAGGGGTGGGGGCAGCCAGACCCCACGCTCCTTCTCCTTGATGTGGAACCTTAGTTCAATGAACACCTGGAACCTGTTGTTCAGGAGATGAGTGTCTTGAGCAGCCAGGGAATCTCAGTGAGTAAAGGGAATTCAAGGTCAGATTCTGGACCAGCTGGGGCACCTCAGGACCTGTGGGGTGGGTGGCCTTTGGAGGGAACCTCAAATCTCCTAAGGATCTCTAATTTAGACCCTAGGAGGCTCTCGCCTAGAGGAACTCCTCAATAGGAGGGGGGAGAAAGAGAGAGGCATTAGAAAATGTAAACAGTTCCCAGTTCCATCAGCTCTTTTGCAACAGACTAGCATTTCCTGAAAGGGCTTCTGGTTGCCTTTGTCAGAGGCACAAGTCTATTGTCTCATATGGTGGGGTGTCTGGTGATAACATGAATTTGTGGTATTAAAAGCTTAAAAACAGGGCCTCCCTGGTGATACAAGGGGTTGAAGCTATGAAGCTATCAGCAGGCACTGCAGCACGAGTTGGATCCCTGGCCAGGGAGCTGACCCACATGGCGCAGCAGACCTCTCCTGACTCCCCGCTGCTCCCCTCAGCATTGTATTTCAGTCAACCTGTGTGGCTCTCTACTCTCTCTGGTGAATCCTCTCACCCCTCACACCTCTGGCTTGTACCATTCTTGTATGCATAAATAAATAAATCTTAAAAAAAAAACACTTAAAAATATGCTGTAATAGGTTGTGGCCCTATTTTGGAATTTCTTTAATACCACAAGTCTCCACACTCCTCACAGATGGGTCTCAGGACCTGCTGGTGCCTTTTGCCATTGGCCCCTCCCAGCCTCCCACCTCCACCAGGCAGCCCTCTAGGTTTTCAAATGGGGAAACTGAGTCTGGAAAGGAAGCTATTTCTTGTCTTTGAGTGTCATTTCTAGTACTAGTAAATTCCAGGGCTGTGGGGGATTCAGGGAACGGGGAGACTCAGTAGGAGTCTCCTGCAGAGCCAGGGACTGTGTGTCAGAAGTAAGAGCAGCTCACTTTTATTGAGCACTTATTATGTGCCACGCACTGTGCCCGTGACCACTTTCAAGTCCCACAGCCACCCATTTCCAGAAGAGGAAACCGAGGCGGGAAGATTCATGGTACATAACACACAGAAGTGCCAGGAAGGGGTTCGAAAGCAGAGAGTTCCAGAACCCTGGTTCTCACCCCTTCCCGAAGAGAAGACAAGAGAAGGGGGGGAAGAAAAAAGGGGGGAAGGGCTACTGCAGGGGAGACCCTACTAGCTCCAAGGCGCCCCCCCTTTCTCCCTCCTTCCTCGGAACCAAGCCAACACTCTGCTCCAAACTTGAGTAAAGTTTCTCGGGGAGGCTGGCCAGGGCGGGGGAGAGGGGACGCCGGGGCTCCCCTGGGCTCCGGTCTCGCTCTCCGGGGTCCCCCACCCGCCTCCTGCGGCCCCTCCCACTCAGCCCTCCCGGCTCTTGACATCACGCCCCGGGAGGCGGGATCCGGGAAGGAGGGGGACGTGGGGAGGAGGCTCCGCCGAGGGAGGAGGGAGGGCGCGCAGTCCCAGCCCAGAGCTTCAAAACAGCTCGGCGGCCTCGCCTCGCGCCCAGCCCGTCGGTCGGTCCGCCGCCAGCGCCCGGTGAGTCGGGGGCGCGGCCACGTCGGGGTGGTGGTGGGGCCCCGGGGCAGCGCGCGGGCCAGTGGGCACGCGAGTCCCCCGCGGGGACCGGACCGAGCGCAGCCCCTGCAGCTGGTGGGGGACAGGGCGGGGCCGAGGCCCATCCAAAGCGCACGTCCACGGTTCCTCCCCCAGATTAGGAGGGCGCGGACTTCCTCCTGCGCCGAACTCGCTCCGGACCCCGAATTCCACGTCCCCACCCCCGGAGCTTCCTTTGCCTCCCGAGGCGGGCGGGAAAAGTTTGGGGAGGAGTCAGGGCGGCTCCCTCGCCCCCGCCAACTGCACTCCCCGGGCTCTCGGAGTCCAGGCAAAGCCCCTCGGTCGCCTGAGGGTCCCCGGCGCTTGGGCGCACAGTCCTCGGGTTCGCGGAGCTGGCGGGACAAGCTGCGCCCAGCGTGTGGGTCAGTACGTCCCGCCCGGCAGCGAGCGCTCCCTCCGGCGCCCCAGCGGCGGCTCTGGGGCGCCCCCCAGCGGTTGGGAGCAACTTCCTCGGTCTGGAGCGATGGGGGGTCTGTGGGCGCTGCCGGTTGGACCCTGCCCCCTGGCCCCTCCCTGCCTTGTGACTTGGGGGATTTGAGAGCCCCACCCACGTCTAGAGGAGTACACTCCACCCAAATCCAGGGTCCCGGACGCATTCTAGGGACGTTCTAATTTGGGGCTGACATGGGAGCGGCCGAGGGGACGCTAGGCTCTGAGGGAGACCCCACAGAGCAAAACCCTCCTGCCAGGCTCCAGAAACCACCCCTTTCTCTAAAATAGGGCTGGCAGCTGAGTTTCAGGTTTGCAGAAGGGAGCCCAGTCCCCTTCCCAGGCTCCAAAGATGCATGTATGGGGTGAGGTGGGGCGTGATCTTTGAACTTGGCAATGGGCGAGCCAGCTGCCGAGGTCAGCCTGTGACGGCTTAGGCAGGGGGCCTTCGGCCTTCGAGAGGAACTGAAAAGCCGCCCCGCCAGTATCCTAGTACCCCACTCATTTGAGGTTGCCAGGGTGGGCAAATTCAGAAGTTGTCATGAAGTGCGGGAGGGGAGCGGAGGGTCATGCTAACAGGTGCGCAGTTTCTGTTGAAGAGGATGAACCCTTTGGGGTGTGGTAGTAGTGATGGTTTAGCAGCAGCGTGAGTGTATTGGATACCCTGAATTCTGCCCTTGCAAGCGGTTAATAGGATCTGTGCGATGTGGGTAGCTCACTGCACTGTGCCAAGTCCCGGCCTTTCGGTTCAGTAGGAAACCCAGGGGCACTTGGCCTCCTCTCCCTGACTTTGGCCTCCAGAAAGAAGTTTCCGGAAGGAGCTTGAAGAAGGGGCTCGGGAAAGACAATGGTCATGAAAGCGGATGAGGCCTGCACTTTGCGCGGCTGCCCCATAGTCACTCCCCCCAAGCCTCACCTGAGCGTGCCCAGCCCTTTTTCCAGGCTGCAGGTGGGGAAAGTCAGATCCGCAAGGTCACTGAGCTATTAATGCCAGGAGCCAGACTTGCCACCTCCATGGCGCTTCCCCTTTTTCTGCCTGGAGATGCCCTGCTGAGTTTTGGGAAATGCGGGGAAACCCTTATGGGGAAAACAGGGCCCCAATGCCTGCAGGGGCTTTGGCAGAGGTCAAGCTCACAGCCAAGGGGAGCAGGGATCGGGAAGGTGCAGGACCTGTTTTCCCACTGAAGGTTTTTGGGTCTTAGCCTCCACCCCCGCTGGGAATTGGGGCACGGGGTGGCAGGCAGGGAGTCGGCAGTGCTGCCTGGAGCCTTCTCTGTCCCTGAGTGGGGAAATTGAGAGTCGCCTGAAATCTGGGGACAGGTATTTGTGTTGGAAGCCACCACAGAAGTGGCCCTCAGGGTGGGTGAGGGCAAGGCTGGGAGGCTCTGGGGCAGGCTGATGGCCCCACCCCCACCCAGAAGCCTGGTAGGGCCCCACATTGGGGCACAGCGAATGAGGGGGCCAACTGGGCCCCTCCGATCTAATTGTAAGCACAGGCACATCCATTGATTCCCCCCCCCCCCCCCATCTCTCTCTCTCTCTCTCTCTCTCTCTCTCACACACACACACACACACACACACAGGCTCACTGGGAGAGACTGTTTCACCTACCTTGCCGGTCTCTGCCTAGAGTGTGCGTGTCCCTGGCAGGAGCTGAACCCACGGGCATGGGTGCGCGCTGCATTTTCCAGCAGCAGGTGGGGCGTGCGGAGGCCAGGTTTTCACCCTGGTACCCTTTGCCGTCCCTGCCCACGACGGCCTCCCTGGCCGATGGGGGCAAAGCCAAGGCCAGCTCCTTGTCACAGTGAACTCGGCCAGACATGACCAGGAAGGGAAGTCTGTCCAGACAAAAATAAATGAATGCCTTTCCAGGCCACATGGCCGGTGTTGGGTTGCTGGCGGGTTGGCAGGCTCTCCGGGAGGCAGGCGTCCAGTCCTGCTGCCGGGGCCGGCGGTGGGACAGAGTTGTGTGTGTGTGTGTGTGTGTGTGTGTGTGTGTGTGTGCGTGGACAGTAGAGCAATGACCAGGCTTCTGGGGCCAAGGTGGGTGGGCACGGGTGCTCCAAACACCGTAGCTCAGAACCGGGGGTGCACAGCAGCACCCAGTGGTGGCCCATGGGTCTGGGGACCAGAGCTCTTCCAGAAGAGTCGGGAGAGGAGTCCTGTGCAGGAGCCAGGGCTTGGGAGCGCATACGGAGTCTGGGAAAAGGGCGATTGGCAGCAGCAGTCGGAACGGGGAAAGAGGGCAGCTGGCGTCCTGGGCAGAGCAGAGCTGGTGGCCTCAGTTCGTCCGCGGAAGGGAGCTCCCCCCTTGCCCAGGAGTGGTGGAGCCTGCTTCTGGCGGGAGTCGCCCAGAGTGTGAATTCGGCAGGACCTACCTTGCAGGGGAGCGGCAGAGCGTCTGGCTCTGGTGGGGGGGGGGGGCAGGCCAAGGCCGGGGGTGAGAGGGGTGTCTAAAAATACCAGAGGCAGAGCCACTGGCCACAGAGCTGGGCTGGTAACCCAAAACCCTGGGCGGGTCGTGGTGGTGACGCCAGCACTCGCCAGCACTAGCCTCGATGTGTTCCAGAGTCACTTGGGCATTCCAGGCAGCCAGTCTTGGCAGAATCCTGCAGGGTGAGAGCTCTCTGCATTCCAGGCAGCCCTGGGCTAAGTGCGGAGAATGTCAGGGCCATAAGGGCCTTAGAAAGTCCCAGGGAGGTGCAGGGACTCGCCCGCCCGAGGTCAGCAGGCGGCAGAACCAGGGTGGCCTCTGGGTCTCGGACTCAGTCCTGGGGGGCTCCGTGGCTGGGGAGCGGTCAGTGGGGCTGGTGCCTCGTGGCTCGTGTCATCCAGCCGCATTCACGAGCAGTTGGGGCAAGTGTGGGCAGTGGGCAGTGCCCAGGGGGCAGCGGGCTCTGGGCCCAGCGGTCGGGCTCTGGGCGGGAGGCAGAGACGCGAGGGTGGCAGGAGAGCCTGCTGGACGGGTCCCTCCCTTCTGACTGAAAGACACCTTGATTTTGTCCACGCGGTACCTCCTGATTGTTGGCCTGAATCATTGATCTCCCACCTAGATCGTGGAACTCCCATGGCCTCATCTTCCATGGGAGCTGGGCTTCTGTCTATCTGGAAAGGAACTGGGGTGAAACGGTCACCCCAAATCTTGCCTCTGTAGACGGGGAGACTGTATGAGCATCTAGAAGTTTCCAAGGACTCTTAACTCAAAAGCTGGAGGAGGAGTGTGATCTTGGGCGTCAGGTTGTCACGAGATATTTGGAGGTAACGCAGCGGTCCCCACGCGGGATGTAGGATGCCTTGCTAAGTCCCTCTGGCTAACTGCTGGTAGTCTAACATCGAGGAAGTTTTCCCAGAAGTCAGGTTGAAGATTTTTCTTTCCGACAGTGGTGACAACTTCCATGATAAACCGTCTTTCCTTAAAACAAAGTTAATTTTTTTGCAGTGGTAAGGACCTGAAGACCTCTCATTAGTCTCTTTTTTTAAAGATTTATTTATTTATGCATTAAAAAATCTGGGGTACAGGCCAGAGGTGTGGGGAGGGTGGTGAGAGGATTCCCCAGAGACAGAGTGGGGGGGAGAACAGGCAGATCGACAAAGCCCCACCGCTGAGGGGAGCAGCAGGAAAGGCTGGAGAGGCCTGCTGTGCTGTGTGGGTCAGCTCCCCGGCTGGGGATCGAACTCACATTGCAGCGGCTGCGACGGCTCATGGTGCTGGCTTTGACACCTTGCACCAAGGAGGGCCTGTGGTCACAGTACTTCAATGAATGTTCTCCAAAGCAGATTACCGTGGGGCGGGGGCACAAGTTAACTTTAAATGTTTGCAGCTGAACATAAACCAGAGTAATTACGTTTTTCTTCTGCCTGGTATCGGGGGATGATTAGCACACTACTCCACACAGTTGATGTTTTAATTTTCGAGTAGATTTTAAATAACCAAAGGGTTTCATTGTTCAGCCCAGTGACCCCGGGGTGTGGTTGTAGTCTTGGGCGACTGTCTCGGGAGAGGAAACAGCAGGGCTGGCGTGGACACAGTTCACGTCTTTTGACAACACGACGTGTCCTAACCTACCTGTGAGCTCCCAGCCCAGAGACGAAGCGGGCTCAGCTCCAGGCAGAGCCCGCCAGTCAGCTCCCGTGTGGTGCCAACTTCGGGGTGGCGATGACCTCGGTGGTGGTTCTGAGTGTGGGGAAGAGCACTGTTAATGTGCTTGGAAGTGGCTTGAGATGTTTGTGGTTTTCTTGAACCAAAGGAAGTGGAGGGAGAGGCTGGCTTGTCCTCTTGATGGGTGTTATTAAGTGACTGCAGCGAGCTGCTCCAGGCAAGGGAGAATGTCCCTCTTCAGAGGAGGTCCTAACCTAGTGACGTGCACGCTGAGTCCTGGAACGTGTGTGCTGGGAGCAGGGTGATAAGCAGGGAAGCTCGAGGTCCTGCTGTGCTGGGACTGAAGAGGGTCCCGGAGTTCCACGTCCTGCCCTGCCCTGAGGCCCTGGTTCTG